TTTAGGTTTTGCAAATAGAAAAAGAAAGGCCAAATTCGTTGAGATTTGGGTTGTAGCTAGATCTCAGTCAGTGCAAAAAAAAGAGGATTTGAAAGAAATTTTTGGCATAAGCATGGAGACCTACAGTGGTCATTGGAGAGATCGACAGTTGGCAACATAATCGGTGGATAGCTTTATAGTGGTAGGCATTGGATTTTAGGTTAATGTTGTTAATATTAATTAGGTTTGAAGAAAAGGGAATTTATAGAGAGGTTGGACAAGAAATGGAAGTTTAGAATAAAAACTAGAAGCTACTAATTATGAAGTTTTTCACTCTATACAAATGGTGCTGTATGAGGCTAAAGAGAAAAGGCCACACCCATTCAACCCATGTGAAAGGCTCACAATACATTTTTCATTGATTGTAAGGCTACATGTCATGCCACACTATATTTTTTATCAAATTTAGTTGGTATAACAGATGAAGCAACTACATTAATATACGTTTGAGCAATTGATGACTCAATTAGAACTTTTTAAAATTTAAAGACCAATGTAGAATTTGACCCAAAGTTTAGGGATCATGTGTGCAATTTACTCTCTTTCTCTTTATATATATATATATGAATAATTAACAAATATACATTTTTAAGAAATAAATTTATTTTTAGGAAATTATGTTAGTGTAAATTTTATTGTGCAATATTAATAAGTAAATGAAAATCTTTCTAGTAATGAACCTTTAGGAAGTCCAAGTAATGATTATCGAGAATTTCTTAGGTGAGAAAAGTCTTTTAAACATTGTCAAAGTATTAGAATGATTAGAAATTCTTTTCAATACAAAGATTCTCATTTTTTTCTTTTAATTTGAATACTTTTCTTAAAGAAAATAAAATATAAAATATTTATAAAAATATGCATTTTTTAATAAACAAATTTATTTATTAAAAATTGTATTTTTGTATAACTTTTAAGGTGAAATAACAATAATTTAAGAGCATGAATTTTCGATGATGAGATTTTAAAGAAGTACGAGTAGTAATTCCTAAAAAATCTTTAAGTGAAAAATTTTTTCTAAAATACTATCAAAATATTTGAGTATTTGGGATAATTTTCAATAAATTCCTTTTTTTTATTAAAATTAAAAAGATGAATTTTTATAAAAGACAAAGACAAAGAAAATGAAATATTGTTTAAACTAAATTATGAGCATCATATTTTTACTATTTGCATCATATTTGTATAAATATCAATTTTTAGAATAAATATAAGCCATCGAACATAGGATTCTTGAGAAATCCGAGTAGTGAGTCTTAAAAGATTCATATGTGAGAAAATTCTTCCTAATATTACCAAAGTATTAGAATATTTTTTAGAATTGTTTGATAAAGAAAGTCCTTATTTATTTTTTAAGCAAAATAATAAAAAAAGTTTTTTGTTGCAATCAAAAAAATTAAAGAAATTATATTTAAATATCAAAAGTAAGACCATTTTTGTCAGGGTTAAGGGATAATACATAGTTAATTGATATAATTTTTAAAATGGATGTTGTGGGGTGCTAATCACTCCCCATGCATAATTGTACATCCAAATTCAATTTTGTTTTCGTATACCCAAAAATTATCTTTTTAATAAGTTTTAATTAATTTTAAAATTCTATTAAAATGTTAAGTGTTTTTAGGAAGCCAATCATACCTAATCAAAAAAGATTGTTGGTAGCTCCTTGTTTTGAGATTTTTAAAATTTTTGTTTAGCGGTTTGCAAAACCATTATGATAGCTTAGTGACTCCACTAAAGGTACAATATTTTTTAGAGTTAGAAAAAATTAATTATGTATTAACCTTAATTTTGATTTAATAGCCTTAATTTGTATTTAACTTTAATTTCTTTGATTTTGATTTTATTGTTGTAGGCCAATAATGATAAAAAAGAATCATATGTATTTCATTTTAATTATGTTGTTTATTCATTTATTAGTTTGTGTTTTGTGTATATTATTTTTGATAAATTGTAAGGTATTTAAGATTGGAGTTTTAATTTTTATGTTCCCTCATTCATACAATGGCACATTCATATCATGCATGAGTTCTACACCTAGGCTCCAACCGTTTTAAAAGAAAGTAAATTATCCATGCTCTCGTAAAGTGATAACCTCTGTAATGACAAGCGAAATACTCCATCTAAAATTAAAACCTTTTCATTTGTAACCTATAATGGGTGATGATTAGGGAGCCTTACCAGTTTTTTATAGATGCCAGAGAGGAAAATTTTGAAAACCTTCTAAAGACGTATAAATCTAAGCCAAACATATGGTAAGCCATAAGGACCGACCCTAGGTAGAGCCATACCAATCTTTTTTGTAGAAATTACCTGAATAAGGACACGTAAGGAATACTTTGTTATAATATGTATTTAAGGGGTAATGATAATGCGAAGAAAATGAAAGCTTTGAAAAGAAAAGAAAATATAAAAAAGTATATTCCTCTAATAAATATTTTTTTTGATATACTATTCAATTTGTCTACAATTTATCTACAATTTGTCCAGGATTCACATCTTAAAAAAATATATTTTAGAAAATTTTTTGTGTTTTCCAAAAAATAAAGAACAAAAACAAAATTAAAAAAAAAATTTTTAGAAAAAGGAAATTCTTTTAATTTCTTCTTTATTGGCAAAATGATAAAAGCAAAAATGTGAAAAAAAAAATCTTTGAATTTAGATCATTTTATATGTTTTTTTTCCATAGGAAATGTTTTCTTGAATTCTTATTTCTTTCAAGAACAAAAAAAAGGAAAGAAAATTTTTTTATTTTGATTTTGAATGTTATTGTACCTTTTGCATTTTATTTGATCCTTTTTATGTTAATTTTCCTCATTTTTTGTATTTGGAAAGAATAGAGTTGTACATAAATTTTATTTCATGCACATTTGATTGGTAATGCCAATTTCATTAAATTTGCATAATATATGCATTACATTTTATGTAAACATATCTTGTCATGTATATAATATATCAATGCATTTCATATAAGCGTGTTTCATCATTAAGTACCTACATCTCATGATGCATGTAGTATATAATCATATTTCGTGCATGTGGACTCACAAATGATATGATTTTGAAAGAGCTTGTATTGTATAACTTGCATTTTATATGAACACATGTCACTACCTTTGTAACAAGATTTTGCATTTCATGCATATATATTCACATGGTTTTTATTGTAAATATATTATATTTCATATAAATGTGTTTCATCACTCATACATTAGGATGCTACATTTCATGCGCATGTATCTAAAAATAATGTATTTTCCACCACTTTCACATTGTAAATGCATTTCATTTCATGTAAATCTGTCTTGTTATTTTGTGTAGATGTGGATAAATAATATGATTCTCGTTGTCATAATGGTTTTGGAACGATTAGATAAATTTAAAAATAAAGAAAGTTGTCACCAAATTTTTTTTATTAGGTACGATTGGCTATCAATTAAAACTTACCTTTTTCATAAAATCTTTAAATTAATTAAAATTTATTAAAAAAATAATTTTAGAGTCTATGAAATAGATTAGGTCCACGAGTTGGTTATGTGTAAAGAAGGATTAGCACCCCTACAACACTCGTTTAAAATGATATCAATTAATTACGTGTTATCCTTTGAATTTTGACGAAATTGGTCTTAAGTTTAATATTTATCAATAATTTCCTTGATTTACTTTATTCATCATAATTTTAGCATTTTTTATTCAAAAAAAATTAAAAACTTGTTACTAAAAAGTTCCAAAAAAAATTCCAATATACTGGTAATATTTGAAGAAAATTTTTTCATTTAGGAATTTATTAAAACTCACTACTTGGAAATCTTAAAAATCCAATCTTCATAGGCTCATGTTTATTTTCTAAGAATGATGTGCATGCAATGCAAATGATAAAATATTGTTGCACATGTTTTATTTTTTCTTTAAAAATTTTATTAATTTTTTATTACACACATTTTTTTAGAGAAAAAGAGAAATTTTTAGTATATTGAAAATTTTTTATAAACACTTAAATACACTAGTAATATTTAAAAAAAAACCTTCTTACCTAAAGATTTTTTAGGTATCACTACTCGAAACACCTTAAGATTCTACTGTCAAATAAAATTTCCTTTCCTACATTTTTATTTTTATTTTATTTATTTTATTTTTAAAGAAATTTTTTGTTTTAATTTTTTAATGGAATTTAAAATTATAAAAAATTTAAACTTCATTGTTATTAAAAAGATTATTTTGGAACATATATAGAAAGAAAATACAAAAAAATACAAAAATAATTGAACCGAACCATTCAATTGTTTGGAACGATTCACAAGTAGTTCAACGGTCTACAGTGATTTTTCACATGGTTCAGACTGATTTTTTTGGCAATTCTGTCCGGTCCACAATGATTTAGTCAGGCTGATCAAGAAGTGTTTAAGAAAGTTAGATTTAGGTCAGGCACGAGATATAGGTCAGGTCACTAGGTTACGTGCAAATCCTTAAAGCATCAAACAACGTCGTTTCACTAATTTTATTTTTTTTATAAAAAGCTTATAAAACATAAGTTTTTTTTTAATTCATTTCAAAACTATCTTACAAAAAAAAAAAACTCCAAATACTTTAAAAAAAAAAAAGGTCGGCCACCCCTTTTCGAGATTTTGGTGCCAGCCCACCACGTCAGCTGCCGTCAAAGGTCGCTAGCCACAGTTGTTAGTGATTAAAAAAAGCCTAGTAAACACCTAACTGCTTTAGCCTTATTTTCACCAAAAACTACCATAATCTCCCAAAATCAACCTTCAAGGTTTCATTCAAACTCTTTCTTTTTTTTTTGGTTTTTTGGTTTGATTTTTTTTTTTGTGTCAGTGCTAGGTCCCATTCTAAGGGCTGTGATGATTTTTTTTTTGGTTTTATTGTTTTTGACTTTTTTGTTTTTAGACTATTTTTTTTTAAGTTTCTATGGCTATGGGATGGGTCTCAGTTTGAATAGGTTTTCGTTAATGAAGGCCGGTAGTTTAAGAGTCTGGTGTTTGGGGTTGTGGTTTGGCCTAAATGGGGCTTTGGGAATTGGTAATGAGCTATCCATAATGAAGATGTAGAGGATGGTTTTCTCAAGCTCTTAATGGTGGTTGAGGTAAGGGACTGTGATAGGCTCGATTGTGAAGGCCGAATGGGATGGTTGCTTTGGTTTTTCTTGTTTATTGGTACTAAAATTAGCCCATTTTTTTTAAAGATTTGTGGCTAGGGTTTTATTATGTTGCAGGATCATTAGAAGAACTAGTCGGAGAGAATGGGCTATTGGTTATAAGGGTGGATTAGTGGTAGTTAAATTTCAACTGCCAAGAGTGGTTGTTGAGGCTGGGAAATGCAAGGTAGGGTGGCACTAGGGTAAAGTAAGTGACTGGAAAGGGACGAGTGCATGGGTAAGGGCCTAGGTGGTGCTATGTAAAACATCAATTTCATAGATTTTTTTAATTTTTTCTTTAATTTTTCATTTTTTTAGTCATTAAAATTTAATTAATTACAAAGAAACAAATTGGGCCCTAAATATGAACATTGGGCCTTGGGTTTTGGGCCAAATATGTTAAATTTGGCAAAATGATAAACAAAATTGATTTTGGGCTTTTAAGCTCGATTGTCATAGAATCCAAACAATCAAAATTGGACCCGTATAACTGACATTGGAATTCATTCATGTAATTTAACCAAACGAGTTGATTTTGAACAAACAAAACCAATTTAATTAGGGTGTCAAATGGGTTTAAATTGATGCTTGTTTCAATTATCCCAAACAAAATTAGGTGTTTACAGCTATCTCTCTTTACGCATTGCTAAGAATCAGAAATAAAGCAAAGATATAAACAACAAGTTTGTTCGAGCCTATTAACCTTAAACATTTTACTTTTTGAAATTTTGATTTTTTCTTTCTCCGTTTTTAGATTTCTAGATTTTTATTTTTTTTTATTTTTTCTCAAAAAACTCTTCTCATTAGAGGCTCCATAACTTTAAAATAGATTACAATAACTTGGATATTATGCTTAAAAGTAGTACAAAACTCAGAATTGAGATAGATTCTGCTTGGAAGACTTATGAATCTTGTTTGAAGAACTAGGAGATTATGCTCGAAGGTCTTACAAATCTCGACACCTATGAATACCCTTTTCATTATAGGCTTTACAACTTTATAATTTTAAAATATTCTGTTTAGAGGACTTTCAAATCTTTACACTAAAACAAATTCAACTACGAAGATTAATGAATCTTGCCCAGAAGACTTAGAGATTATGCTCTAAGATCTTATAAATCTCAACACCTATGAATGCTCATTTCATTAGAAGCTCCACAACTTTAAAAATTTAAAATATTATGCTCAGAGGACTTATAAATCTTTACACTAAAATAGTTTCAGCTTGAAAAAGTTACGAATCTACCTAGAAAATTTAGTGATTATGCTCAGAGGTTTTATAAATCTCAACACCTATGAATGCTCATTTCCATAACTTTAAAAGTTTAAAATATTTTGCTCGAAGGACTTACAAATCGTTATCATTGTTGCTTAGAAGTTTTAGGGTGGTAATTATATCTTGATGCCTAAAGGTTTTTAAAAATTTCTCATCTTAAATATCTTAAAAATTCTCATCATTTTTTATCTCAAGAAATTTTCTTCTAAATCTTTCAATCATTTCAACATTTCATCTTTTAAATTTCTCTTTCTCTTTTTTTTTTCAATCTTTCTTTTGAAAATTTTCTTTTTCAAAAGAGACATTATTTTTTCCAAAAGCTTGTAAATTGATAATTGTGATAATTAATCATAATGATACAAATGCAAATCGATTAATGTCCACTTCAATGATGTGAATGTACATGACCTTACCAAGATACAAATACAAATACAAATACAAATACACTCCGCAAAAGATGTAAATAAATTTTATGCAAATGCTTACTAAATGATGCGAATGCATGAACATAAGATGATGCGGATTCCATTTCAATGATGCAAACACAAATGCCTTAAAAAAAATTCTTTTCATGATGCAAAATGCAAATGCTTAAAAAAAGCCTTTTTTTTTTGTAGAATTCTTTTCAACTTCAAATCATTCAATCATTCCTCTTCCCACATCAAATAATCCTCTAACACATTTCCATAAGATTTTCCTTTCCTTCCATCCTATCATTCTTTCCATTTCTTCAATTTCACTTCACATTTTCAAACCCATTCATGCCACATTCATGCGATTAATGCCAACTTTATTCCCATGACAAATTCAACAAACCACTATGTTCTTTCTACTTAATGAATCAAAAACATATACCAAAAACAAATGTGTCTCATTTCATATTTTCTTGCCTAACTATCATATGCACTTATTCTCTTTTTTTATTTGAAAATAATCCCATATATTCTCACCAAAGTTGATTTTTCCTTCTCTTTCTTGAAAAATATTAAAAATTATTTTGAAAGATTGGTTTTCAATGAAACAACATTTTATTTCATAAATCAAAACTCATGTACAAAATTCTTGCACCAAAATTGAATTCTTTACTCTTTACAAAAATGCCTAACAAATAACTCAAAATTAAACAACAAAATTGCCCCATATAGGGAAAACTAAAAATGTGACTTTTGAATCTCTCAAGAATTGTTCACTATTATAGAGGAAAAAGGTGATCTTCTACAAACAAATTAAATAGTTTATCATATCAGTGTTCTAGTTCATTAAGGAATGCCTCACAACTTGGTAAGAAATTAACAATCTTTCATTTAGGCTCACAAATGAAATATGAATTTTCTAAAAAGTATGAATTCTTTGAAAACCAAACATGTTTAACATTCTCTTGAGTATCTAAATGTGGCATTTTAATTAATGTCAAAACCAACTATTAGGAGTTAAGGTTTTGATAGGTCATTTAGGAATGGAAAAAGAAGGCTCAAATTTTGAAATTAACTTTTTTAATGGGTTTCAAACTTTGAAAGCATCCATATTCTCGAACCTTTCAAAAGCATGGGTTACTTTATACCAACTTATCTTATTTTGCTAGACACCAAGATTGACTTCAAAGTCTTCAAATTTGCTCTAGACTTTTTTTTTTTTAGGATCTTCACCCTAAAGCCACATCCTTTTTTTTCTTTTTTCGATTGTTTCATCATGCACTTAATAGTCCAAATTTTATCCAAGATGGGTTAACAATTCAAGTTGTTGGATTGTGAAAGAAAATAAAATACTGACAAGTTGTATAGTGATCCCACAAGGAAAAGCTTTTCAATTTAAACATTCATACTTGATCAAAATAAACTTTTCAAAACATATAATTTAGGCCAAGGTTTCATGGTTTTCAAAGAAAATGATAGATATACCTAAAATAAATGTTTAAAAGTGATTAAACCAATGATCATTTCAAGATGCTTGTCTTTTCATTTTTTTTCCACTTAATTATTTCTTTTCTTATCTTTTCCTTATCTTTTTTTTTTTTCTTGTTCTTCCTTTTTTATTTTTTTATTCTTTCCCTTTGTTTTTCTTTTTTTTTTCTTTGAATGGATTTCCAACTTTTGAAGAATTTCTTATGCAACATTTCCCCTCAACATGGAAGTTTTTTCATGGGCATCATCATACTTAACCCTTAAATGCACCCCTCTTTTGCCCTCTATGATAAGGATGCCCCTTGGTCAAGGTTATTTTAGATGAATTCATTTGGCTCAAAGAGATAGCAAGGGAATAATTTTCTTATTTGTGAAATGTAATGAAAGATGGCCATTTGTCATCTCAAGCATAATCATTTAAATTGAAAAGTAATTCTTTTTTTAAAAAAAGTTTTAAATAAATGTTTTTTCTTTTTTGGAATTTTTTTTTGGTTTCCCTCACTTTTGAGTTCTTTGGCATTTCTTCTTGGTTTTTTTCAAAGATTTAGGCTTTCTTTTTTGGACTTTTGAATTTTTTGATTGGATTTATTTGAATTTCTTGATGCATGATGTTTGTTCTTCATTTTTTTTTTTATCATTTTCTTCATGCTTGCATAACTCATACATAATTCATCAAAAGGTGCTCTAGCTTGATATGCCATTGAAAAGGTCCATATGATGGAAATCATGTTGAAAAGGTTTTTAGATTGTTCATATTATCCCACCAAAATAAATAGTTATGGTATAAGCCAAGTTGTCTTCAGTGTAATGAGTGGTCTTGCTCTTTCATTAATGTGCCCTAAGAAATTGAACACCGATCACTTTAGGAATGGAATTGAAACATTATGTGTTTATGGCCAATTGATAAGATTCAAGTGATTGCCTTTATTGTCGAAAAGCAAGCATAATCTTGACACATATCAAATTACCAATGTCAAATAAAAAAAAATTATGTTTGCTAGATTTTTAAGAAATCCAAAATGCATTTTTCAAAGTAAATATTTCATCGATCATCACTTAAAAAAAATTATCCCCTTTTATATGTCATGGTATGATTAAGTGAAGATATGATTAAAACTTGTGCCCTCTTGAAACATGAAGGCATTGGTAAAAGGTATTTTCTGAGGTAGGTTCATTCCAAATAGTGATTAACAATTCTTCTAGACCTGTCATGATGAATTTGAAAACCATTTTTTTTTTTTCATTTCTTACTTTTCCATGATTTGGAAAGTAGGCTACATGGGTTTTATTTTCAAACAATTGCTTGAAATTAAATAAATAAAAACAAAAATAAAAACTATAAAATGCTCATTAAAAAATCCAACAATATTGATTGCATGGAACAATTACAACCTAACAACATCATGTGCATGCCATGCATATGTATACTAAACAAAATTCCAATAACTCTTCAAATTTTACAATTGGACTCAAGACAAAGTAAATTGCTATTGCTCTATAAGCTCTGAAGTTAAAATGCCGCCATTGATAAGATCTTCAATCTTTTTTTTATCTGTCTACTTTTTTCAATCAACTGATCAATTGCCTTTATGTGAAAATCACATTTCTTATTTGGATCGTATCTCTTTGCTGATAAATTTGGGTTTATTTTCAAAGGCATAAGAGTAAGGTACTGAATTTCTACTAACGAAGGCAAAAGATTAAAATTGGGGATAGGGAATTTCTCTTGACTATTTTTTTATCTTCCTTGGCTTCTTCTTGTTTGGGTAGTAGATCCGAATGCAAGGACTAGATTATAAGCAATTATTTGACACTGGTGGTTTGCTTAAAACTCTTATTAGCATGGGGCGGAATTTGATGATGCATTATTTATGGTGGGGTAGTAGACCAAGTGAGTATAATATAGAGCAATGCCATTGTCTCGTTGCCTCTATTAAGTTATGGTTTCATGTCTTCTCCATTCTTTTTGAATGCCTTTTTTTTTTTTACAGCCTATTTCTCTAGCCTTCC